AAACATTCCCCACTGACTAATGAAGTCACTGTGGCGAAACGTTTCCTCAGTAAAGATATCCAAATGTTGCACATGTGTCTAATTTATTTACATAGAATAACCCAGTGAGGAAAAATATTTTTATTTATTTGCAGTGTGTAAACTGCAAAGAATTTACTATTCTATTAAAAATGTTGTAATCTTGTATGCTGTTATTTTTTTTTTTTACTTTCAGCAAATTTGACTTGTACACCAAGAAGGAAGAAAGTCCTAATACAGAAGAACTGAAACCTTATTATCAATCCCTGATAGATAAATACTGCCCAGGGAAGCTGAAATGGTAAATTTTAAGTGTGACGGGGAATGTTTATAATTTTTTTTTATTTATTTTTATTTGGATATGATACATAGTTGTACAAAGAAATATAGTGATTGGGTGTACATACCAAAAGCCCCTTGTATGCAGAGCATTATGGGCAGCTTAAAATTAACTTAAGATTAACTAAGCAATGATATATTCAGTGGTAAAAATTATAGTAAACAAATTACAACATGAAGCACAAATGAATATTTCAAATAAGAAGCATTAAAGTTGTTCAAATTTGAAGCATAACAATGTATAATATAATCCAATCAGATCGAGTAAAATCCATGATTTGTAGAGCAGAAACAAGTCATATGGTCATTTAGGGTCACAGGTTATACATTTATGAGATACAATTATTCAGTATTTATTTAGTTGAGGGTGAGTAAGTGATTTTAAGAAGAGATTTGAATTTATAAACAGACGTGTTTCTTGTATATTCACAGGTAATGAATTCCAGATTTTTGGGCCTTTTATGTGCATTGAGTTTTTGCATAGCGTGAGATGGACACGAGGAACATCAAAGAGTGATCTGTGCCTTGTGTTATGGTCATGTGTTCTGTTGAGGTTGGTAAGGAGACGTTTGAGGGGAGGGTTTATATCCGAGTTAAGTGTTCTATGTATGTAACAGGTGCAGTAATAAGTATGGATGTTTTGTATGGTGGGTAGGTTTAGAGTTTTGAATATTGGTGGAGTGTGCTGTCTGTAGTGGGAATTTGTTATCATTCTGACTACAGCCTTTTGTTGGGTAATTAGTGGCCTGAGATGGTTTATTGTTGTTGAGCCCCATGCACAAATTCCATAGGTGAGATAGAGGTAAATAAGTGAGTGATATAGGGCCAGGAGGGCTGACTGTGGAACATAGTAACGTATCTTCGATAGTATGACTACGGTCTTGGAAATTTGTTGTGCATGTGTTTGAAATTTGAGTCTATTATCAAGGTGGATTCCTAAGAATTTTCCCTCTGTGAGCTTTGTGACAGGTGATCCGTTTATCATTATGTTAAGAGGAACATCTGTAGCTCTGTTACCAAACTGAATGTGGCAGGTTTTGTCAATGTTGAGAGTAAGTTTGTTAGTCATCAGCCAGGTAGATATTTTCGGTAATTCGATATTTACAGTATTGGCTAGCGTGACTGGGCTCGGTTGAGAGAAGACGTATGTAGTGTCATCTGCAAATAATGTGGGTCTGAGTAGTTTCGTTGCATTTGGTAGGTCATTTATGTAAATGAGAAAGAGAAGATGGCCAAGGACACTTCCCTGTGGGACACCAACTGCAATTGGCTGTGTGGAAGAGTTTGCTCCATTTGTGTACACATATTGGCTTCTGTTGCTAAGGTATGACTTCAGGGAGTTGAGGGAGTGCCCTCTTATACCATAGTGTGATAATTTTATGTGCAGCAAATCATGGTCAACTGTGTCAAAAGCTTTACGTAAATCAATGAAGATCCCCAGTGGGACTTCTTTTTTCTCGAGTGCAGTGTATATTTGTTCTAGCATATGTATAATAGCATCATTCGTATTTTTATTAGGCCTTAACCCAAACTAACAGGGGTTTAGTATGTTTTGGGAGATGAGGTAGGAATAGATTCGCTTGTGAATTAGTTTTTCAAAGATTTTAGAGAGTGAGTGTAAGTTGGATATTGGCCTATAGTTATTCAAGTCTGTTTGGTCTCCTCCTTTATGTATCGGGGTGACCCTCGCTAGTTTGAGAACTGTAGGGAAGGTAGAGGATTCGATGGATTTGTTAAAGAGTGTTGCAATGATTGGTGATAGCACTTGTGAAGATTTTTTATATATAAAGGGTGGTAAGGTATTTAAATCTCCTGTCTTGTTCTTTAGTGTGTTGATAATAAGTGAGACTTCTGTTGGGTTACTTGGAGCTAGGAACAGCTTGTTCGGGTTTGGTTGGGTTCAGGTTCGGGTTTGGTTGGGTTCAGGTTCAGGTTCAGGTTCGGGTTCGGGTTCGGGCTCGGGTTCGGGTTCGGGTTCGGGTTCGGGTTCGGGTTCGGGTTCCGGTAGGTGCCCTTATCAGACTGGTTAGGATAGATGAGTAACGTTTTGTTTGGTCTCTGGTTATGTGACCCATTCTGTACTGTTTTTCGTATAGGTGCTTTGTATTTATGGATTTGAGGATGCTGGGTGTTAGCCAGGGACTGTTCAGTCTCTTAGCTGTCATCTGTTTAGTTTTTTAGGGCAGTGCTTGTTATAGAGGCATTCGGTCTTTTTTAGAAAATTATTAATACATTCGTCAGTATCTGCATAGATTTCTAGCTCAGTGTGCCAGTCGATGTTTGTCATTGCTGTTGTAAAGTTATTAATGGCTGCCTCATTATGAAGTCTGAAGGTGACTTTAGTAGTGTCTTGGGGTAATTTACCTAGATTGGTTATGAGAAAGGTAGGGTAGTGGTCTGTGGTATTATCTGTGTTTAAATGCCTGATTTTAAAGGGAATATGGTGTTGGTCCAGATGTGTTTTAAATAGGGAAACACTAGTCTCTGGTAATTCTTGTAGGTTTGCTACTGTTGGTAGCAACAAGCAGTTACTCATAATCTATGAATTCAGTTACATGTGGGTCCTGGTCTTGCAGGAGATTTATATTGAAGTCTCCTGAGAGTAGTAAGTGATCTTTATTCATGCGTGCATCAGTTATCATACTTCCTAGGTTTTCACTGAAACGACTGATATTTGACTGTGGTACTCTGTAGATGTTTATCACTGTGAGAGGTTTTTGTAGGTATTTGGATTTGAATTAGCTATTTATATATTCCCGATGTTCATCCCTTGTGCAAGTATTATTGATACATTCTAGTTGGTCTGAGTAGTATATAGCTGTGCCACCCCCTTGTTGATCTTGCCTACAGTTGTCTATGGCTGTGTAACCAGGAATGGCATAGACATCTGTAGTATCTGGCTCTAGCCAGGTTTCGGTGAGAGTAATGATGGACATACTGGCATGCAGGGAATTTAGTAATGCTGTGAGGTCATCGTAATGTTTGTTTAAAGATCTGACATTATAGTTAAAGACAGTTATGTTATTGTTGGCTCTGAGAAGTGCCTTTGTTTGTTCTGCTGTGTAGTAATCACAGTTGCTGTTTGATTCATTTAAGTCATTCAATAAGAGGTTGGTATCAGGATCAATGCTTGTAATCATAAGATTTATAGTGAATCTATAATTAGAATTAAGTATAAGAGAATGTAAATATTCTAAAGCTAAAAAATAGCACCTGAATTATTTTAACAAATGTAAATATATGAACTAAGGCAGTTCTTTAAAGCTAAAATAAAGGAGACAATATAAAAGGGACTAAAATAAGTAATGGTAAACAAAATTAATTAGACTGATAGCTACCACGAATAACATTAATTTAGAAGTAAGATTTGACTTGCAACACAAAATTTGAGCAATTAATAGCAATAAAAAAGAAGTAAAAAGTATTTGAGGTAGTAGGTACTAGCTAGGAAATGAAAGTACAAGGAATTGCACAATAATGTAATAATAGTAACATACACTATATGCACCACACGTATATATGTGTTAAGGACACTTTTCTAATCTGCTACAGAAATGTCAGCTTTTCTAAGGAAGGTAGAGAAATCATATTCATTTGAGATGGTATATTGTTGTCCTGTTGAAGTTTTTCTAACTAGTATTTTCCCATCTCGAGTGAAACACTGATGTATTTTGTTTTCCAGTTTAAGTTTTCTCAGCCTGAACAGAAGGTTTTGACGTTTTCTCGTTAGACACTCGTTGATGAACACTCCATTTTCATTGCAATTGCTGATTTACTTAGGTCTTTTTTTCTTTCATATGAATGAAGTCTGATCATAATACTGTGTTTACTACCTGGTTTTCCTAGCAAACGTGTTTCTTTGGTTTCCTTGTTTTGCGGAATAACTCGTACGTGATAATGTATTATCCTGATAGCAGTTTCTTTGCACTGTTCTTGGGTTATGTCACTAGGAATGTGTGGGCTGTTTATTATAACTGCATCAGACAACTTGTCTTGTTCGGTTTTGTCATCTTGGAAATCAAAGTATTCATTCAGTCGAGTGTGCGTGTTCTGATTCCAGTCCTTGATGGCTATGTAATGATTTAGAGAATATCAATACCACTGACTATCCACTCTTTATTGTTTTAGTAAGATACAGCATATGTAGAGAAGTTATGAAGTTATTGTCAAAACTTTATCTTTATATATATTAGACAATTTGTAGTATACTAACAGTGTGGAAAACAATTGAAAATTTTCCTATTATCTGTGTGTGGTAATTGAGAGGTTAGTTAGTTTAGTTTAATATGTTTATTATGCACCCCATACCCATCCTGTGGGAGGTAGTCAAAAGATTACAGAGGTACATAATTGGTCCAGGGACTGGACTCCAAAGTTTTGATAGCTGAGCAAGTTACAGAGGTAATGAATTCACAATTTACAAAGGTAATGAACTCCAGGTAGGTCTAGTCACAATCATGACAAGTTACAAAGGTATTTACAGATTACAGAGGTACGTAATGGATCCAGGGACTGGGCCCCCAAAGTTTTGATGGCTGAACTAGGTACAAGGTAATGAACTCACAAGTTACAAAGGTAATGAATACTGTAAGAATGGTTACTTACGTTTATACATGGCATCAATCATGAACAAATTATAGTGTAATGAGCAATTCACACTTCCACACCCGGTCACAACTGTAGTGAGTTATTGGTGCAAATATTGATTGTTGAGTCACACACACACACACACACACACACACACACACACACACACACACACACTCATACACACACACACACACTCATACACATACACACGCACACACAAACACACACACAAACACACACACACAATTGAGAGGGAGAGTAATATTTATATAATAATGTAGATGCGTGTGGTGTTGATGTGACTTTTGGAAGGTGATAAGTCTCTGGCCAACCAACACGTCTCCTATTATTTCTTTATTTATTGTAATCAGTTAATTAAGTAAAACGTAATTATTGTAAAATTTGAAGGATTTAGGTTGAATTATCATCAATAAGAACATAAGAACATAAGAATGTAGGAACACTGCGTCTGTGTGAAAGAAACTCGAGACCCGCTGGGAAGCTTGACACTACAGGTCATGAGGTCACTACTGATCATGAGAGTTGGTCACTACAGATCATGAGGGCTGGTCACTACAGATCATGAGATTTGGTCACTACAGGTCATGAGATTTGGTCACTACAGATCATGAGAGTTGGTCACTACAG